AGATAAAGAACAGCAAAAAATCAATAAAAAAATATTACTCAACTGTCGAAAAAGTAACATTGATAACTATTCTATGATTTCACCAAAGCTTAAATTCGTTGAAAATAGGCAAAAGCTTAAAACTCTTTTACCAACTTCTAAAACTAAATGTTCTGTCAATGATTCTATTAATATGGTGAAAAAGCAATGCACTATAGGTAAAAAAGAAAAATATGAAACTAGAAAGATGAAAAAGTTAAAATCAGTTGATTCAACTACTTTTCCCTTGTCATCAAACAATCGTTCTGATAATAAAGAAAACAGTGTGTCAAATGAATGTATTCAATTTTCAGATCCACTTCCAAAGTTTATTTTAGCTTCAGATAGGTTAGATATAGATAGAGGTGGTGATAAATCTGCTGAAGATATTGTTTATCTTCAAAGTATAAATTGTTCATCAGTTAAAAAGAATAAAACCATCTCGCTTGTTGAATTGTTTAAAACACCAGTTACTAATGAAAACAAACCTATCTCTGAGAATAAAAAATCAAATAAGCAACATAAATTACATAATGTTGAAATAACATCTAATCAAGATATAAATGTTTTCTTTGGAACAGATAATACTGTCAAAAAAACTGTCATCGACAAACCTATTTTAAAGAATTTGACATCTTTTAAGGATGCCACACCTAAATTAAGTAAGCCAAATATGTCTAAAAAATATTATGGAAATATAAAATCTTCAAAATGTATTAGATCAGAGCTTAATGTAATAAAGAAGCCTATGGAAGTAATTATACCAGAATTTGACTTAACGACAGACGAAACTAGTAAAGAAGTTATGGAGCTTGGAATAACAAGAGAATCTGTCGAACTTGATTTGACAAAAAAACCTGTTGCTATTATTCCAGAACTAGATTTGACTAAAGAATCAGTTGAAGCAATTCCGGAACTTGATTTGATGGAAGAACCTGTTGCAGTTATACCAGAACTAGATTTGACAGAAGAACCTGTAGAAGTTATTATACCAGAACTTGATTTGACTGAAGAGCCTATTGCAGTTATACCAGAACTAGATTTGACAAAAGAACCTGTAGAAGTTATTATACCAGAACTTGATTTGACTGAAGAACCTGTTGATTTTCTTGTACCTATTCTTCATCAAGATGAATGTGTGAATCATTCAAGGGAAAAAATTGAATCTTTTAAATCTCAAGGTATTGTTATTACAGATGGTAAATGGTCAATAGAAGAAACAAATCTAGTTAGAAAGAATTTCATGGACTTCAAGTCTAAATTTGGTATTCATAATGTTAATTTATTGCTAGGACTCGGACGCAAATTACCTTTTTTGAGGCTTGAAAACAATAAGATTCGCAAATTTCTGAAAGCAAAGCATTTTTATTTGAGATTGGGAAAGGATATAAATCAAAAGACTCTTAGAAGCATATATTATAAAGCTCGAGTTTTGTTTAATCCTCTAAAGAAACTAAGGGATTGCACGAAGAGTGATGTTTCAGCAGTTATGTGGTTGCAAAAAAAATATGGTAATAACTGGAATTTAATTGGTCAGAGACTTGGAATATGTCCTGCTATTTGTGGTCGAATGTATTTGAACAACAAAAAAGTTGTTGTAAAAGGTAAATGGTCAAAAATTGAAAAAGAAAAATTAATTTCTGCAATTAAGTTTGTTGCTAATGTTTCAGATTTGAATAATGCAAATTTAGTTAGAATTTCTTGGACAAGAGTGTCTGAACTTGTATCTACAAGGAATAGTAACCAATGTATGATGGAGTGGAGAAACAACATAAGCAAAATTATACAAAATGTTTCATTTGGAAAATGGCGTAAGTCCCATTCAGCTAAATTAATAATTCTTCTTAAAAATAATTATCCAGTTTCTGAAGAATGTTATATTCCTTGGAGAAAACTTCAAAAACATTTTAAAAATGTTACTCATTCTGATTTTGCTCTCAGTGAAAAGTGGCGCCAAATAAAGTATCATGCACCAGATGAATTGAGAACAAACTTCTCAGAGTTGATTAAATTCTGTTATGAAAAGTATAGCAAATATTTTATTCCAGAGAACTTATAGTTTTGATTTTCTTCAATAAAATTGTTAATATTATCTGACTAGATTCTTATAGAAAATAGTAATCCTTCTGAATTCAAAATCTTGGCAATATATTAATATTAGAAAATGTTGGCAAGATCTCTGTATCAGTACCAGCACAGTTTTGGTGATTTTTTGGCAATTACAGTAAATAAACTTACACAAACCATTTATCTAATAGCCATCCCTGAATAAACTACCATTTTTTAAAACTTTTTCAGGTTCAAAACCCTTTGGGGCCTTGGTGGTAGTAGTTGGCACCAACAGGACAAATTTGGAAATACAGTAAGACCTCGATTATCCGAGCTAATTGGGACCGCTAGTACCTCAGATATCGGAAATCTCGGTTAATAGAAACCATGTATAAAACCCTTCTATGCTTGCGAATTTAACTACTTTTAGAGTAAAAAACAATAGAACGCTTTTGAAATGATAAAAATAAACATATATGAGCTTATGTTTCACAGCTAAAAAGATTTAAAAAGGAAATCAACTCTAGTAGTAAATTTTAAAAAGTAAAATGGAATTTTTTTTAACTATACTTAGTTAAATATCAAAAGACGCATTTCCAAAAATAACAGAAATCTCAATAAAATATTGTATTTTTAAAATTTACATGATTAAACTTACAAGTCACATGACCACTGTTAACAAAGCATTCATAGATGTTATCTTCTCAGGGTGTAATATTTCATAGAAGTTGAGTGTGTTTGTGGGGAGTAAGTGCCTGTAACACAGACAGCGAACTAATATGTGTATAATTTCTTCCAAGCTCATTTTGGAGAGGAGAAAAAAAATTTAGACTTCGTTATTGCCTCAGTTAATCGAGGTTCTACTGTATCTCCAAACTGTTAATCACTTTATTTTCTTTTATAAAATGTTCTATACCTATTACAAAAAAAAAAAAAAAAGATGCATATTCAACTATTTTTATTGGGAAAAATTCTAAATTATTATTTTGTTTACTCTAGAAAGTTTATAATTAATTATCTCGTTTGCAAAATATTTAATATTAGTTTAATATTTTTTCTTAGCAAATATTTATGAAATATTCTAATTCTAAAATCTTGACAAGATCTTCATATTCAAAGTTATGTTAGTTGTTCTGATACAAAATGTTGGTATTCTGTTATAGCTAGTATTTTACTCAGGAGAACTTCTAAATTACATTTTTTTTTCTAAATTTCTATTTTTATTCACAGCAAATTAGTTTTAACAGTATTTAAACAGTTTTTTAGTTTCATAATAATCGATTAACTTCTTTCATCTGATTTAAAAAATGATAGATTCAACTCAATCAAATTCAATAATATATCGAAATTTTAAATGGTGAAGTGAGGGATCGTCCCCAAAATTATTTTTGTTCAAAAATATTATGCCTACTTTAATATTATTTTATAAATGTAGTCTCAAACTCTACAAAATTTTTTCATTGAATATTGGTATGAAGGAATATTAAATAAATGCCTCAATTCTATGTTTTTTATTTATTAATTGATCTCAAACTATCATGACTAGTTCAAGGCTCCATTAACTTTTTTCTCACGGCTGGTATATAGAAGTACATTAAAATGGGCAGACTTCAACAGGCTAAGCTCCGTAAACCAAAGGTTAACTCAGCGGCTCGACAGCCCATAGAGGGCCAAGGCCTACTGTGCCCATCTCAGTTTTCTTGACCTTTGGGCTCTGGGATGCAGGAGCAGATGTTCCGGTTAGGTGGTCAGCCCAACGCAAAACCCCCAGTGTTTAGTTCCCAAGCATGCTTGGTACTCATTTATCGACCTACTGAAGGGATGAAAGGCTGAGTCAACCTTGCCCGGCCCGAGGATCGACCCAGGAACCTGTGGCATGACAGCGCTACCGCTCAGCCACCGGGCGTCAAACCAAAGGTTAATGAAGCTATACTGGAAACTATTAGCCATCCTAACGCTCAAATATGCCATCTAAGGAGAATCCATGTCTTGTTCCTCTTTTCAGTTGTATAGGAATGTACTACGATATTTTCCCCTTTCTTAATATTTTTCGTATTTAATTGTCAAATATATTTTTTAAAATTTCTATGATGCTTTCTTTTAGAACTATCTTCTAGCAGTTTTCAGTTCCATGTTATTTCCTAATTTAAAAGTTTTTTTATCTGTTTGAAAACAGAAGCTAACCTAGTAGATGAAAGCTAACTTCCATCTACTATGACTCTCCACACACTAATGGTGAAAGCATGTAGAGAGTTCTGCCCTATGCCACCTGTAGAACATTTTGATTGCCAATTAAAACTTTTTGTTCAAAAGAAAGTAATTCTAAAGTTAAAAAAAAACAACTATTTTTTATTATACTTTTCTTAGTTAGCAGTTTGCTTTTTTTAAAAAAAGATTATTGTGGTAAATGTGTACTGTTAAAAAAAAAAAAAGAGCCTTGATTTTTTTAAAAATTGTAGTCTTAAATTTTTTTATTTTAAAAATTTAGAAATTTTTTAAATATGACACTTAATTTGATTTTTTAATTTTATCCAACATATAAATTAAATGCTTGTAAGATTTTTGTAGTAATAGCAAATGTTATGTTTCAATCTATAATTTTCAATTTTTTACATTTTATTTAAAATTATTTTAAATTTTTTTATTTGCTTTAATGTTTGATTCAGTCAAGCAAGAAAATAAAAGTTTTGATAATAATGAGGATATTATAATTATTGATTATTATAATAATTGAAATTTAAAAAAAAAAAAGGTATCTTATTTCAATGCCGTTAAAAATTCCTTAGCAAATAGTTTTAGTTTTAGCTATATGAAAATCTACTTCATTAATTGTTGGTCCTGGTGGTAATTGCAATAATGAAACTACAGAAAATAATTAAAGAAAAAACAATACTGGCTTTGAAGAATTGAATTAGAAAGAAAATTATCACAACTTTTATGAACTCAATATTTTTATTTCAACAAGACTTAAATCAACACATATACACATAGTTCTATTTTCATCGTCATATATTTTTACAAATTCTTCAAAAGTTCTTTTGTTAAAATACATCATCATCTACTTTTGAATAAAAATAACAATAGAGGAAATATGCATAAAATACTTTTTTTTCTTCATTTTTTAAAATTTTGACTTATAATGGTTATGGAATAACATATAATTTTACATATGGAATAGTTTTTGATTTAAAAGGGATATGTATTACATTTTACTTCACACGGACATTTTACTTCACTTTAATATACAAAATTTATCCACTTTAAGAAAATAATATTGTTAAGTCAATGACAATACAAAACTCATTTAATATATACTAGAGAGTATTTCAACTGTCAAAAATTAAATTAAATTCAAGCCTAAGTTTAAAATACTGGATGTCCCAAAAATGATAATTTATTGACTAACTTTTTTTTTTGAAACTTAGAATAAATAATATAGTTTGATAATAAGCATGGTTGAATGCATAAAACTCAACTCAACATTTCTTTTCTTTCTAATTTTCTTACAATGATATAAACAATCCTTTTTTATTCAATTATTATTTTTTTAGGACACCAGTTATAAACATTTCAAGTTATTTCACATTCAAATATAATAAATTTATGCTATAGAAACAAATTTACAATAAAAAAAATCATAAAATACTTCTGCTTGTCTCATAAATGGAATAAACAATATTTACAAATCTGAATATAACCATGCTTAAAATAAACATACAATAATTACTTGATTTCATGGTTTTTAATGACTAGTTTTTCTGTTGCAAGAGTAATTCTTGTTATTTTTTGTGAGGTGTTACCTTATCATTTTTTTTGTACAAATTTTACATAAAATTTATAATAACATTGTAAATTTGCAATATTTACAAATATTGTTTAATTCGAAAATTGTTGGCACTTTACACTTTAGTTTCAGGTCCATCTGCACGTGACCGTGAAAATGAACTCCTCAATTTAATTAGTAAAAGGGTAGAAATATGTCCATAAGCTCTATGATACCATTCTGGAGATCTTCCCCTAAAAATAAAATAAACTTATAAATTTAAAAAAAAAAAAAATTAGTATCTCTCACATCTGCAGCGAAATTACAGTAAAACGTGATACAGTTGATTATTCCTCATGTAATGAAATGCTGCTTTTACCTAAAGAAGTTTTAATAAATGTTAAAAATCATACACAATACTTCTTATAAGCATATTTTGGATTAATGAATGTTATTTAAAATTCTTGAACATAATTACATTGAATATATCAGAAAAAAGTATTTGAAGGTAAGTGAAAAGGTTTGAAGGTAAGTTCAATTTGTTCAAAAATTGATGTCAATATGAAATAAATAGAAACCATGTAGCAAATAGTTGGTAATATGTCTTGAAATGAATTGAACAACGAGTTTAAACTATAGAGTAGCAACTGTTGATAAGAAATTGTGGAATGTGTAGGGTTGATATGCAAAAACCATTGAATAGATTGTGCCTCCTTATGCTGTTTCTATAGCTATGTGTGATCAGTAGCGTAGCTAGACTCTTGGGGGAAAACATAAAAACTGGGGCCTCCTCAGTCAAAGCAGGATGTTTCAGTCCCTCCATTTCAGTGCTGTTGATATTCTTTCCCCTATCATCAGTTTTTCTCTTTTAGATATTGAAATTTAAAAAAAAATTACAAACTGCCGAAACATTCTGATGTTATTGTAATGATCCTTTTGGTTGCAAACATTTTCCTTTTTAAAGGTAGGTCGAAAATAATTTTACGATTACACAGCACTGAGGCAGTTAACACAGAAATCCTTATTAATTTATTTATCTGTTCATTAAATTTTACAATCATAATATATTATTACATCATAATTAAAAGAATTACATAGATAATGGTATATGCATGGCATTTAGAACTTTGGCATTTAGGCATTATTAGATAATGGCATTTAGAACTCCTGCTTATTTTTTCAATTTAATAAAAATAAAATTTTTGTCTTTTCACAGAAAGTTTTGCTTTTTTCATCTCGAGAAATAAATATTTTTTTAACTCTTTTTCTTACCTATGTAAATGTATCATTCACATAAATTAAAATCACACATCATAATTGATATTTATGCAATTGAAATTAACCCATTGGGAGTAGTATGTATGCAATTCAAAATGACCCATTGTGTATCATGTGCATACATTTTAAAATTACATATTACGTTTCGTATTCACGTGATTTTAAATTAGATGTAGTGATTAGTTTTCATGTGATTTAAAAATCTCCCACTAGGATTTTGATTCACTTGATTAAAAAATCACATATTGAGATTTGTTTTCACATGATTAATAAAATCTTACATTGGGATTCATATTCACTCGATTTAAAAATCATTCATTGAGATTTGTATTCACAGAATTTAAAAAATAAAATAGCTCATCGATATTTTTTATTAAATTGTTGATATTATTCTAAGGATATATGTTTCCCGCATACACTTTTTTTTCCTGTTCAAATTTCAGCTATTTTTAAATTTTAATTTAGAGATTTCTTTTTGATGTTATATCACAATTTCTTTCTATTTTTTTTCTTATATAGGTCCAGTGTACAATTTATTTTTCATCCCAGATATGTTAGCTATATCAATGATAAATAAGTAAGAAATACACAATATTCAGATTGTCAATTTCAGTATCTATTTTTGCTAAGATTAATTCTTAATTTTTAATAGCTTAATAAGAAATAGCTTTTATATTTTTAAAATCATAACTATAAATGAATTTTTTAAAATTTTGTTTAACTTATTCTGTTATTTGTTTACTAGAATAAAAATTATATAAATTCTGGAAATTTCAATGCACTCTTTCACTTCATGGTCTTTCTTCCAACTAAAACTTCGTGTATATTGGTAGATTTTTATAATTTTTAGTGTATTTTGTCTTATAATGCGAAATGACTATTGATGGGGAAAAACCTTTGTTATTTTAGGATTCTTTAAACATTTAAAAAAATATTTTAAAAACTACAAATAAAATTTTGGACTTAGAAGACATTTAAATTTGACTTATATGTAAGTAGCTTGATATGATTGACTGTAGGCAAAAAAATTTCTTAGTGTGAATAAAATTGTTTTAGATATATCAAAAAGTTAATATTATAATTTTTCTTGTCAATTATTTATATAATCTGTAGGTTTCATAGCATTTTCTGAAATAATCTATTAAGTTTTAATTTAAATATAGATAGAAAAAGTTTGATTTTTTAAAAAAAGTAATTTCTGCACCTTTGTGAAGCTACACATTTTGTTTACCAAACTAATGGCGACCAAAATCTTGACATCTAAAAGCATCAGTTTTTATTTCAGTATAGAGTCAGCAAGATACAACTTGAATAATCCTAAATAACTTTTGATGTCATTATTGAATTTTCACTTATTGTCAAGCTTTAAGATTTGAAGAGGTAATCCCTACAACCCATTTCCACGAGGTCTCAAAACAGGCTAGTAAAAGCAGTATTCTGACCAGTCAGGCTTAGAAAAAGTCTTATCAAATTTATATCAGATCTATTAAGAATTCCAGCTTGCTAGAATAGGCAAAAATAGCCAACAGACAAAAAGAGCCATTCATCCAAAGTCCTCAATTCCAGCCTGGCTCAAAATTGACTTAAGGCATAAAGATTTTCCTGAAAGCAGGCTAGAAGAACAGGAGGTTAAAAAACATGTTTTTGTACCTCTTGTGATGTTGCATGCCTGATTTCAAGACTTGTGTGAATGGATAATACTAATACTCTTCACAGCTATCAAGATATAGAAGAAATTAACTTACTTATCTTCACTGGTGGATGATAGACTGATTAAAACATGATAAAGACTCACCTGATTGTATTTTGTTTTGCAGCTACTATTTTTCAGCTATTAGTACTAAACATAGGAATACTAAGAAATGAATGAGTTACAACCATGTACACACCTTGTATCAATCCTACTGATGTGAGTTATTCGGGATTTCCCAGATCCACATGGTTCGATAAGATAACGTGATGCTAATAATAAGCCTCTGACATTTTCAGGGTTTATTTCTGCTTCAGGATGTTCAACTGATGTTTCCACTAGAATACAGGCACCTTTGGGTAAATCAGTTTTCCATGACCTATATTTTAAAATATTGTATAATTTAATTAATTATAAAATTTGAAAATAAAATTAAATAATTTCACAATTTGAACATGACTTGTTGAAATTAAAAGTTATAGTAAATGGAGAAGTTATTAAATTAAAGGAATTTTAATTATATTTTGTCTAAAACGATTTTCTATAAATATTATGATATATGATATTATAGAAATTTTATTTAATAAGCATATAATACACAATTGTGGAAAATAAAACTTGAATAATGGTTAATTACAGTGAAAAATATATAAAAACTAAAGATAAAAATATCATTGAGAAGGAATTTAAAAAGCAATTTACAAAAGATGCTTTTTTTAAATACATAAAAGCAATTGTATACCTTTCCTTTATTCTTACTTAATGAGCACTTATTTTTTTCCAAGAATGCGTCTAAAAGTCCCAAAAATATTTCATTGCCAATGAAATTAATTTTTTACAAGATTAAATTTTAGAAACATTTCTGAGACTACATAGTAGATTCTGAGAAGTTTTTAACTCATCTGAAATTAATTTAAACCTTTTATGTTGTATGGGTGTTTGAATATTTTTTGTGCAATTATGATATAATAATAAACGTAATTATAATAGTACTTTGAAAATAAAATCAAAATAATTACATAATTAAGTAGAGAAAATTAAGAAGGTAATCTAGGGTGTGCAGCAAGATTTTTCAACAAAAAATATGCATCTTTTAAGTACTTTTTAAGCTTTTAAAAAATATTTTTAATCTTTTTCCCCAAAAAAAAAAAATCATAGTTAGGATCTATGCAGGAATAAAAATGATTTTTTCTATCGTTTAAAGTTCTTAATTATGAACATAAAATTTTTAAAAGCTTTACACAATCACGATAAAATAACTAGTTTCTGATAAATAAATGTCGCAGAGAAAATTGTGAAAATCACAAATTTTAGTAATTTCGAACAACAATCAACACGGCAAAGAAAAAAAATCTCTTTTTAAAAGATAGAAATTAAGAACTCTTTACAAACCGCGAATAAAAAAAGCACCTTTAAGGGCTTTTAAAAAAGGTAAATCAAAAATAAGCACTTTCTAAAAATGCTGTGCACTCATCATAATATATATCATAAGTAATACCTTAATATGCAAAAATCACAAGGTGGATGAGGTGGCAATGGAGCACTCTGGTACTGAATAACTTCAGTTTGTTTATTTAAACGACACACTAATTTTCCTTTTGAATATGAGGTATCCCATACATGTCTGTAAGATATAATAATCAAGTTTAGAGGACACCAAAACAGAATAGATAGCAATGCTATTCAATTTTTAATAATAAGTTTATTATCTAAACTTTAAATTTAATTATGGAAATGTATAAATTTTTTTAAAATGATCTATCAATTTGTTCAATAACAATTGTATTGTTTTAAATTCAATTATATTACTGAAATGCAACTGAAAATGCAATTTTTGACAGGATTTTGTCTCATCAATGCACATGAAGAGTAATAGGTATTTTAATGAATCTAACAATTTTCAAAACATTTTTCATTTGTTCATAGATTACTTTCTAAGAAACAAATTAATTGACCAAAATAAACTGGATCAAATCGGCAAACAATTCTCAGTAGCTCTTAGCCAAAAATTTCATTTTAATTTTTTAGATAAAAATTTAAAATTGAATAAAAAATACATTAATGGATAACCCATTTTGTATAGCAAAATATCAAATTGCCTCTATCTGGGCATTTCTACCATTTATCATTTATCTGGGCATTCATATCATCTATCATTTTTATTCCTTTCAAATTCTAGATTTAACTTAATATTTGTTGTTTTCAATCTTTGATGGCAAGTAATTTTTTCTACCTTAAATATTAATTTATGACTACTATTTAGTATGTATTTTTGTCGAAGATTTTAAAACTATAATATGTATTACAGACAATTCAATAACAACCTGTTTAATGCAGCATTATAGTCTATTCATACCAAATATTTATGTTTTTAAAAATGAGAACAACATATACCTTTCTCTTAGTAATCTATTCAATAATTCAACGGGTGGAGCTTCAACTTCTGTGGATGCCTTCCAGAGTTTTAAAGGATGACCATCTACAACTTTTTTGTAAGACAAATCAACATGATCATTTTGTGACACAGTTTTCCAGCCCTTATATTTTTCTTTGGTTTCCTAAAAAATTAAATTTGAATTTAAAGAAAAGCATTATTTTATAATTCACAAAATTTTTTAATTTTAAACATGCTTTCATATTTTTGAATGATTCACATAAAGGAAAATCTAAACTAAGATTATGTACAAAAATTTTAACTAAATACCTTTAAAATAAACATAGCATTTTTAATTTATTTTCATCATAAGTCTTAATGAAAACAGTGAAAAATTCTTAAATTCAACGTTATTAATATTTTTGTGTAATTTTTTCCCAAACTGAAATAAAATATTAGGTTTTTTAGTTATTTCATTTTACATGGCAATTAAATAAATAAGATAAAGTGAAAAAGTTGATTTTATCACTAAACCTTTAAAATTACCTTTAAAAACATTTGTGTACAGCTGTCAATATAACCTTTCCATCCAGTTTGTCCATTAGATGAGGAAAATAAAAATAATTCTTCTAATGATGCAGGCTGTGAAAATGATGCAGATGATATGCGACTTTGAGAAACGAGCTCTTCAGACACCTAAAATAAATAGTACCTTTATAATAAGTTACTAAAGACAGAGAAAAATATGCACTAAATATTTGTTGAACTAATATCGGGATGCAGAGAGTATTTCAGAAAGTAAAGAAAAAGCATTTTCTTAAAAAAAATTAACACAAAATTATTGTTTTTTTCTGAAAAACATAAATAAATAATTTTTAAAATACATAATTTAATAAAAAAAATCGATGTATGTTTGTCTGCATGTTACATTGTTGGCAAAAGAGAGCATTTACAGCCATGAAAGGTTGTGTAAATGTAGATGTTGATTTCTAATAGTGCACTTTGACACACTATTTTTGATAAAAAAAAAATTTATAGCATTTTTTTAATTTTCAAATATTTTCATAGGATTAACATATTATGCGTTTTTCTTTATAACTATTGGTTATGGGGGAAATGTAAGTTATATACTATCTTATTAGTTTGACTAGAAGAAGTTCAATTTTCAAAAGAAAAAAATAAACATAGTAATTATTTAAAATTGAATATACTTCAGAAAAAAGCAATCAAGTATGCAAGACATGCACTCAGGGGTGATTGTGAGTCCAAGTCGAAATTCTGGAAAATTTCTTGAGTTTAAAAAAAAACAGTTTAAATTGAAAAATTAGAAAAAAATTTAAACAAGTTTTTTTTTCTTTTTCTCAATATTTCTTAGTTTACTTAAAATATGTTTAGAAATTTACACATACCTATACCATTTACACATACCTATGATGACCTGGAGAAGTAATTATAATTTACAAATATGTGTTTCTTTCTTGAGTTTTATGATTATAACAACCATTTACTGATAAAAAATGAATATTAATCATGAATATAAGCTTATAAAGTATCTCCCTTACAAACAAATAAAATAAACTGTGTTAAGTTCCACCTTTGAAAATTTGATTTCCAGAAGCTTCTGTGATCAATGATTTTTTGAAATGTCTGGACCATCGATCTCCGGAAACTTCCGGATCACTGTTAGCGAAAATTCCGGAAATTTTTTCCGAAGCACAATCAGCCCTGTGCACTAAAAAGCAAAGGAAAGAGTACAAAATGATTCATGTCTGGCATGACAGTTGGTGTAAGCACCTTTACATTGTAGAAAATTGTTATTGGAGTGTTTAGCATTTGGACAAATTTGGAAACTTTTTCTCAATATATAATTTACTTTTTGAATAAAAGGGGAGGGGGGAACTTTTTTTTTACAGGAAAAACAATAAAATAATGGTGATCTTTAGACATGGCAAATATCTCAGAATACAATAAAGAAATTATGTTTTCATTAAATGTTACCGTGAATAAGCTCTTGTAATTAGTAACCATGCAAGATAAGCATTCATAAGCTGCTCTATTTTCATTGAGTTCTCTTAAATCGGGAACTCCAACAGTTTTTCGGCGACGAGGACTTGAGCTTGCACTTCGAGGAGTAGATAGATGAAATAGTGAAGGAGCAAAACAAACAGCAATGTTGGTAGCTGTCATCTAAAATAAAATTTGATTTTAAGGTATTTTTTTCAAGTACAATGGTATATTATGATAAATAATAATAAATGTAAAATTAAAAACATAAGAGATTATAAATTTAGAGTGAACTTCAGAAAAAGTATCATTTGAAAACTTTTGATCTAATATGCTGATTTTCATACATTAAATTTATATTTTATTGTTTAAATAATGGGGAGGTATTTTCTTAATTTAGGCTACCTTCTTTATTTTGTTACTACATCTTTCGAAATCAAAATCAATCATAGGAACAAAATTTTTTATTATTAAAAAAATTGAATTTATGACAAAAAAATTTACTATACTGTCTAACTGTGACTATTAATTTGGAATTGGATAAAAAAAAGTTATAAATTAAATCTGATATATATATATATATTTTGCAGACTGTTAATTTAGCTAGCAAGTTAGTTGTTGAGTTAAAAATCATTTCAATTCTCAAAAGAAGTAATTTGTTTTTCCAGTTTATGAGACAACTTGCATTAAGGAATATACTTAATATAAATTTTACTTATAATTCAAAATTAATTATAATATGGACTCTTTTTACAAACGAATTTACATGCATATAATGACTTGATATTAACTGTGGAATTTTAATAGAAATAATCAAGGGATTAAATGGTAAATCATTATGTTGACTTTAACTTGAGAGATGATATTATGATTGTAACATTTTGTTAATGTAGAAAGGTTACAATTTTAACTGGCGTACAAAATTCTTGTATGAACTGTTAACGGAATTAAAATATATTGTTTAATAAAAATTTTGGAAAGAACGTGATATGTATTATACTACTTCTTACATTTTTTTTTTTTTTTTTAGTGAGTGAGAGAAAAACTTACATGTAAATATTACCAATGGCAAACTAAAGACAGAAAATATTGAAATTCAAAATTTAGAATAAAAACTGTGCTGATGTTATGCGAAATGGAACTCACTTGATTTACACTAGAATGTTGACAAACTTCATGCAAAAATTCTAACAGGGACTGCAAAACTTCACGATTTTCGTCAGGCATTAACATAAGAGCAGCATGGATAGCTTCAAGACGTAAGTCTTCAGGAACAACTAAAAATTCAAAATTAACAGTGAAATGTTTTTAACTAAATTTATGAAATTCTCATTACGACTACATTTTGTTCTAGTTTGTTAACTTAAGACTTCCAATCCACATTTTTAAGACATATAATAATTACTGTACAAAATGTTATGGAACTGTGTGTATAAAATATAGGGTGTTCCATAGTGACTACCCATAATGTATGCATTTAAAATCTTTGTAAAAAGTGAAGTTAAAAAACATTCATATAAGGATCACTCATTAATATTTATGAATGGAAAAAACAAAAACATTTGCTAACTCTTATTATTAAATTTCGAGCTCGATCAAGAGATTAAAATCCTCAAAGATCAGTTTATTTGAAAAGTTGGACTTATGTGTTTGTTTCACTTTTCAGCATCATCTTCAAATAATCTAGTTTTTAATGATTCTAATATTTCCTTTGTTTTAATGACAACATCTTGATAACATCTCTGTTTTTTCCAACGTAAATATTAATTTGTGATCCCTAATACACATAGTTTCTTTCCTCATTATTTACAAAGATTCTAAAAATTTATATTATCAGCAGTCATTACAGAATACCCTGAATAAATATAGGTAGACATGTAGAACCTATGATTAAAAATGCTTTTTGTGCTTGTGTCTCTTAGGATAAATCATGTAAAGCTATAGCACATTTTTTTTTTTAGCATTTTAAGTAAGTCCCAAGTCTGTGACCGCTTACGTCCTTAGTAATATTAATAACAATAGCGTGATATGAATTTTAAAAAAAAATCCATTGAAACTCGAGATGCCAAAGTGTAATTCCTTTATAGGATGATTTTAGAATACTTTCTTTACTGTGAAATTGAATTTAATATCAGAAAATGTTGATTCAATTTTTGTTGTTAAAAAGCTGTTTAAACCAATAAAAATTAAATATAGATATGTAAATTAGTTTTTATTGTTTCTAATGGCACTTGGTCAAGCCAATATCTTTAGCCATTGGCCATTTTGCTAATTAAGTTATGTAAGTGCGCCCTTCAGGTGACAAGAGAGCACCATAAGGGTGAAGGTACGTTTTGGCTCAGGAACCCATGGATAGATGGCAGCATCACTCATTCGTGAGGCCATTTCCTTAAGATTCCTGTACCCATGCTACTGCTTAGTGATAGACCACAGGACCTTTGATTCCACAGATTTTAAGAGCACATATATTGCATGTACTCAATGGGCCCCAGCGGAGTTGAAGATTAAACTCTGGATCAAAGTCTGATTCTCTAATCACTGGACTACAATGGTCCCATAAATTAATTTTAAGATAAAGTAAATTTAATAAAAATATAAAAAAATTAAAATAAACTTACATTGAAAAATACTAATGAAAGTTTCAGAAAGTTTATTTGTTAGTAGGGCTTCTGGAAGTTCTCTGAAATACTGCTTTAACATATCAGCAACATCATAAGCTTGCTGTTCTTCATAGCTGATTTTTTCAGGAATGGTTTCATTTAAGCTCTTTAATTTTTGAATTCGGGATCTCACTCCTGATTTTCTGAACAGACCAGTAGAATCTAAAGCTGTATTTCGTAAATGGTGAATTGCTGCTTGGATTGAAACGGGTAAAGGCTGTCCTGTTCTCTGGAGAATAAGAAGTAGAGGAACACCAAACACAACTTTATCTGAAAATATAACAGAAAAAAAGAAAATTAAAATCACGAAATGGTTATGTTCATGACTTTTAAAACTTATGTAAGAAAATGTATCAAATAAAAATTACTGTAGAAGAGAAAGGAAAAAGTAGCAGTAACGAAGAAAAAATAAACAGATAAATATCCTTTAATTTTCTTTTAATTAATTAGAATATTCCAATAATCTTTTGGTTTAGTTCTTTTTTATAGTGAAAAATTCGAGAATCCGTATGAGAAACACAAAATTATCTGAAATAAATTAGTAAAAACCATCAAGTTGGTCCAGAAGTTAATGGTAGAAAACTTTTGCTTAAACTGTCAACTTTTTATGATATTCAGAAAATCTATAAGACATTCCAGTGACCACAGAAACAAGAGTGTTTTTTCTTTGGGGGGGGGGTGCTTTTCTCCCCTATATATTAGTATTAACCAGGTCCAACTTATCCGAGCCTTGCAAAATGGCAATCAAGAATTTGAACTTGCAATTTCATGATTCGAATTGTTTTAAAATTAAAATAAATTTAATAAAAGAAATTGTTTACCTGTAAATTGTTTATCTCATTTAACAGTGTTTTTTTAATATTCTGTTTTACTATTTTTTATTATTGTTCAGTATTTTCAATGCTCGGTATTTTCATGCTAGTTTGAGTACTATTTTCATGATATTTTCAATGCTTTATAGATAACTTCACAATTCGAATTGTTTTAAAATTAAAATAAATTTAATGAAAGAAACTATTTATCTCTCATTTAACGATATTTTTTTTCATTCTGTTTTACTATTTTTAATTATTCTGTACGCTGTGTCATTTGAAACCAAGAATTTTGACCATCGGTCAGCAATAGGACCCTATATTTCTTCTTCAGGGGAATGAATAAAGGAGGAGGATTTGGTGGCAGTTTTCACCAAGGAAATGCCAGAACTCGTTTGAAATAAATAAATTTTTTTTTAGAATTCAGACATTAAAATATATATATTTTTTAAATTTAATTACACAAATATTGAGTGAAAAATTGTAATCTTAGAAGGAGCTGAGTCTCTTCACTGATAAAATCTTGGGGGAGTTAAGCTAAAGCCCCTTCTGCCCCCTAGTTCGGGAGTCTCTGAGACATTCATTTATGATATTATAAAAATCACTTTTTTAAAAAAATAAAATAAAAAAAAAGCTATTTAAAACTTACAAAGCCTTATCCTTAAAATCTCCCCTTAAAATCTGAAATGCGAAAGGCGCTTGAGTCTTTTTCATCATTTTGTGCCTCAACATTATATTTTTAAGAAAATTTTTTTTGTTGTGTATTGCAGGATTTTTTAAAAATAAGAAAAGCTAGAGCCGCGATGGCTCAGGGGAAGGCGTTCGGCTTCTAATGAGATGAACCGGGGTTCGATCCCGGCGATGGCTGGTCGATACGAATTCCGCATCCGGCTTGCACTGACCACAGTGCCGACGCGAAATATCCTCAGTGGTAAACGGATCATGGGTTAGAGTCCCCTTGCCGTCAGTCTAACCATGGGAGGTTCTCGTGGTCTTCCTCTCCAAGTAACGCAAATGCGGGTTAGTTCCATCAAAAAGTCCTCCACGAAGGCAAATTTCTCCCAATACTTGATCCAGAAGTTCCCTTGTCTTCTAGATTGGGTTCAAAATTACAAGGCTATGGAGTTGAACATTAGTATTCATAAACCCAAAAATTTTGTCGGCTGTTCAACGACGGTTATAAAATAAAATAAGAAAAGCTAAATATTTCTTGTTTTTCGTTGAAAATGTTGCAGTTGTGTTTGCCTCCTCTTCAAAATCTGTCATATTAAGCTGATTTTGTAACCAAGGGCAGCAATTAATTCACACGTATTAATTAGTAACTGAAAATAGAAATAGTAAAAAAATATATAGCATATGATAAGTAGGAAGATAATGAAGATATGAATCACATACCTTTATAATCAGGGTTGCGAATTCGGCCAATGAATTTTGAAACTCCCCAGCTCCAGCCAGTTCGACTAGATGGGGAAAATTTTTCCATTATAGTGGTTAATTTCAAAAGAGATAATTTACGAAGGAGAAGCATTTGTGGAGCAGTTAAGTCCATAATTCTTAAGGGACCAGAAAATGATTTTGTTTCAGGGTGTGAAATAAAAGGAAAGCAATGCCAAGGTGCATGTTGATAGGTGATGCCCCTGAAAAAAAATGACTACAATATAGCAAAAGTATTTTAGATTATGAAACACATAAGCAGAAGAATGGGACATAAATTTTTTTTTGTAAATAATAAACAATTCTACAAATAAATTCCCGCGTGTTTTTTTTTTACTTTATTGTAGAGCTATTTGAATGTTGCTATGAAATCCAGTCACCTCTTAAAAAAAATCAACCTTAACTTTATCAATCTAATTTTAAAACTTATAAAACAGTGCTGAAATGGAAAAAAAAACAGAGATTGAAAACGTGATTTGAAAATCATGGATTCCTGGCACAATACTCGAATATGACGTGAATATATGTAGAGTTGTTGTAGTTGTAGTTAATTTACGTCGCACTAGAGCTGCACAATGGGCTATTGGCGACGGTCTGGGAAACATCCCTCAGGATAATCCGAAGACAAGCCATCACAATTTTGATTCTCTGCCGAGGGGATCCCCCGCTTCGGTAGCCAAACGACCTGCACGCGAAGTCGAGCACTTTACGGTAGAACAGTTTAACGAGGACCAATACCGCACACCCTTGGTCCCTACGCAGACTAATCCAAGTGGTCACCTACCAGCAAACTGACTGCAGCCAGTGATGCTTGACTTCGGTGATCTGCTGGGAACCGTGTCTTAACGATCAGTTCACTACAGAACGAATATGCAGAGTTTTGGTATAAAAAAAATTATGATTTCATGTTGTTCTAAGCATTTCCAATTAAAAATGGTTAAAATGTCTTAAGAAAGTATAACGCCCCATCGTCATTGGCGATCAATAAAATATATATATTTTTTTTTGGGGGGGGGCGACTACATTTTTAGCTTTTCAATTACGATTTCACTTTATTTATAGTTAAATATTTATGTAAAGGTAATTGGTCTGAGACTTAAACTCGAGCGTTTTTTTCCCGTTTTTTACTGTGTTTTCAGCAATGATCAGAGAAAAAAATCTATTTTTTTCTTATCTTCACACTGCTGCGTATTAATAATGTGTTGAATCCATAAGAATAACTGTGATCGAAAACCACATGGATTTACGATAAAATCGATGCAAAATAGAAGTAACGTGATTGAAAATCGAAAGGTGATTGCTCATGTGCGTGATGCGAGAGTCATGATAGTTTCAATTTAAAAATATCAGGATTTTTAAAATTATTTAGAAATCCAAGTAACCGCAGAAAAAATGAAAAAAAAAAAAAGTGAATTCACGACGAAATTGAAAGGCTGCGACAAAAGTTAATCAAATGCGCGACTCGAAATTCACTTGAGTAATATTTGGTTAAATGTAGCAAAATTTCAAAAGAAAAAAAAAGAAGGAAGAAAAAAACAAAAAATGAAGAAATTTTTAACAGTGATTGCTGAAAAAACGTATGGATTTACGATGAAACCAATGGAAACTCGAACGGACACGGTTCAAAATCGTTTAGTGGTTACTCGTCGATTCAAGATTCATCAGTCGTAATAGAAATCCCGTATCAAAAATATCGGGAGTTTAACTATGTGATTTCACGAAGCCAATCAGACACTCGATTCGAAATTCACTTGTAATAATAGCCTAATTAAAATATCGGGATTTCCGAAAACCGTGTCGAAATCTGTAATAATAATTGCTGAAAAACCGCATAAATTTATGATGAAATCGGCGAAAAAACGAGCCCATTAGAAGATAATCACTTGAATGCGGGATTCGAAATTCCGTGACGTGTTAATATCGTATACGAACAGGAGAAAAAAAAAGGGTTTTGTATTTATTTATTTTTCAAAATAAAAAGAAGATATGTTTACGTAATTTTTGTGCAAAGTTCTTAATTTTAGAAATTCTTCAGGTCCCGAGAACTTGCAAATTTGTACTAAGTTGCGTAAGAAAATCCCCGCCAATATAATGGACCTTTTTACGCGTAATCGCAAATTCTTGTAAGAACATGATACTTTCAAATCACCCAGAGATTTTTATTATTTTGAAATTTCTTTCAAAAAATTTAAAGTTTTAATATATTGTAATAAGTATTTCATTCATTTGTAATAAACATTTCAAATGCATGCATTTGATTTTTATTCATGAATGCATTCCACAAAATTTCAAAGTTGGATGAAAAAAAAAAAACAAAAACAAAAAAAAAAAGAAATAATACTAGAATATTTTAACTGGCTACCAACATTTTTCAAAATATTGCCCTGATTATTATGGTTTGCTCTGGTTAAAACCACTTAAGGGGGGGGGCAAAAGAATATAAGAAAAGCTAATTTAATTTTAAAAAAATGCTGGAAATATAAATTTTCCAAATATTCTAAATCCATATTTTAAACTCATTAAAGAAAATGTATGTGAGAATTCTGCAATGGTTAAAAATTTATTAAAACGTTCTTATTTTCTTTTAAATGTGAAGAATAGTTACATTATAATGACCTATAACTTTATTAATACATTTATTTGAAAATCATAGTTTAATTTCTCGAAATATTTTGCTTGGGCTAAATATTTATCTGTCAAAAAATAAAAAATATTGTAACATATTTCGTATTTTTTGTGGTCAAACAATGAAGTTTGTAACCACCAATTTAGCTTTCGATTGGCCGCCACAGTGTTTGTAAAATTGCTGTGTAGATGTAATAAAGTGAAATAAAACCAGCTTGATTGTCAGATGAAATATGGATTCGTTTCACTGTATATGAATTCTTATATTAGCTTTCCAATCTTCTACTGTTTTTTCCGGCATCGAAACAGGTTTCGATATTTTCAGTCACTCCTTCCCCAGTAGTGATTTGTTAGAATATGGGTTTAAATGCTTGAATTTTTTTGATAAGTTCAAAACATATTAAAAAAAATTTTCTTCAAATTTCAAACAATCCATATAATGGTATTTTTTCTTCACATAAAAATTTAATATAAGATAAAAAGAGAAGAAAAAAAACGTAAGAAACTTATAGCACGCGTTGGCTATTCCCAAGTTTACTACAAGGCCGAAAAAAAAATTACACTTGGTAACAAATTTAAAAGAAAAAAAAATTATAATTGCGAATAGCCAAGTGGTAACTCTCCAAAAGAACAAAAACAAAAAAAAGAGAGTGAGTCGTTTAAGGCAGCTGGATTGGAAATTAGTGACTGGTCCTACCATTATTAGAATCTGGGTATGTACATATATACAGGGTGATTCTAAGAAGATGGGCAAAATTTTAGGAAGTGATAGTACACACCCAGGCAAACAATTTTTATCAAAGAATGCATGGTCGAAAACAAAACGCAAAACCGCTAGAGGGCGTCAAAGTTTAATGTCTTATATGAGGCAAAAACACGCAAAGAACGATGAAGTTAAGTTATAAAAGCAAAATTTAATGGCATGTGATTACAATAAGTGTTCAAAACATTGCTATGCACGCAGTACAACGGCGAAGAAAAGACAGGCGAACATTCTGAAACACACCAGGCATATCGCGAACTTTCCCTGCAGCGGCCGAAAGCTTGGAGACAAGTAACGCAGCGCAGTAACTCGCAACAGGAATGGAGCTTTAACGTTTGCATCAAACAACTTTCATGCATTCTTGCAACAACATGCATTCTTTGATAAAAATTGTTTGCTTGGGTGTGTACTATCACTTCCCAAAAGTTTGCCCATCTTTTTAGAATCACCCTGTATATATATATATAATAAAATATTTTCGCCAAGGGGAGCCGTAAAGGTTGGGCCGATTGTTTACGATGTGCAATAATCTATGTTTTTTTAATAATTGTCAAAACAAAGGTGTAGGATAAGTTAAGAATTACCTTACCTTTTATCTAAAATTGAAACAAAGTATATCATAATACCTTCAATTCAATATCTATGTATATAAAATATATGTAACAATATATATAAAAATAATATATATATATAAAAAAATACCTTGTTAATGATGATCCAACTCCAGAATCACGTCTTTCATTGTTCATTATGATGATATCACCATCATCTTGGTTTTGAACAGATCTGTCAAATGACTGCTGGTTCTTTCCACTCTTAACTATAAAAATTAATTATTATTATTAATTAACTTTTTAACTTACCATGACTGATGCATGTGTTTTAATGATGTATAACTTCGAAGTTAATATATAAACTTCAATATTATCAACATTTAATTACTTGATTTTATCCCTCTGTGTGATATAAGTTCATAATACTTATTAGCTTACTATGCAAGATGTTTTCTGAACACCATTTTTTCCCCATTGCATATGCAAGGGGAGAGGGATCAAAAGGGTGCACTTGCAGCCCTCAAAAAACTTAAATAATTAAAAAAATTTAAAAATAATTATTAAATAATAAATGTTATTAAATAAAAAATGTCATTAAATAATTATAAAGTAATTACAAACACTCCTTATTTATATGTCATATTGAGTCTACTCAGCGCAAAAGTTCCATTTTAAATTTAATGCTATAATTAACAAATATTTTTTTAATAATTAAAAATGATAGCAAAAAAAAAACAGTTTAAGTAAAATAAAAATTTATAGAAACCGCTGTTCTTTTTTTTACTTTTGTACTCATATTAATTTAAAGCATTTAAATAAAGCATTGTTTTTATTGATCTTTTTAATAATTTTTCGCCAGTTTAGAGACTATTATTGAAATTGTTGGCGAAAATAACTTAAGGGGATTTCTTGAAATAGACGAAAATGTCGCTTTCCATATCTAGCTCTTCAATTATAACATTATTTTTATTTATTTTATTTTATTTATTTATTAAAAAAATTTTTTTTAACATAGTTTCACCTATTTTTATATTAAAATCGAAAAAATTATGAAATTATTAATAATATTAATTATACTAATAAAACGTGTTTGAATATTGTTTTCAGGCTGTAAAAAGAATTTAAAAAATAAATAAAATATTCCCATTTGATCTTACTGTGTTTTTAAATTTTTGCTCTCGGTATACGAGATAACACTTACAAGGAAAGACTTTTTCGCGTTTTGGGAAAATTTTGATAAAATTCTCGTCATTACCAAGCCCGAAAATGTCGTTATACGCCACTAGAGGCACTTCTCCTATTATGAACTGTTTTTTCATGCTCTTCTTAACAGGCCATAAAAACGATGCTCCTCTAGCAGCGTACGACGACATTTCCGGGCATGGGATCCTATACAATTTTAATCTTGATGATATGCCCTAACTTCCTTAGAAGTTTGTAACAACATTTACGCGACTCCATGTTATATATAATGTCTTAAAACTTGTGCATTTCGACTAGAAATTGACTGAAAATGTTATTAAAAAAAAATCTGTAGCTTTAAGAACAAAACTAATTTCAGATTTAAAATCCCCACATCTGAATTAGCAACATCAAGTATTTGTATAAATGCAACAAAAAATTTGTTCACCAGTGATTCTTCAATTTTCCGACAAACTTTTTTGTGATCTCTCTCTCTCTCTCTATATATATATATACATATATATATACGCAGCGAAAGGGTTAAGGTATAAAAATCATTAAGTAATTAGCTACTATTCAATCATATATTTCTTATATTTTGAATGAAGAAAACTATTTAAATGATTAATTGAAACTATTTAATAATAATGAACGATTGTTCATTTATAAAACACTCGAATTCAAATGTTTAGAAAAGAGATAAGAGCGGATCAAGGTAGATTTAATAACAAAGGCAATTTAAGCATTTAGAAAACAAAATCACGATTAAAACAACAACTTGACACACAGGATGCCCACTAACGTTTGTAACAAAACCGCATTCTTAACTTTCGAATGACTATAGCTATAGTTATAATAGTGGTGTCTAGGCGTAGTAAAGTGGCTGTGCACTACAAGATGAGCGAGCTTATCTGGGAGGGGAAAAAATATATATATAAAAAAACTTATCACACAGTACCACTATTTTCGATTTTTCTGATAAGCTTTGTACAGTGCGAAAAAAAAAATAAATAAATGAACATCTTTTTCTCGAAGGATTTGGATATCTGACCCCCAAAACTGCTGCAATCGTTTGGTCAGGAAAGCGCTCCAAAGTTTGGACCCCTTAACGTTAATTTTACTTTATTTCTCCATATCTCGAGAACTTTTCATGCATATTGAAAAACTTTTGCACATAATTATACAATTCGTTCATCCAAAGACAACTCCATGCAAAAAATAGCTTTTAATAAATATTTATTATTTTTTAAAATTTTATTTAATAATGGTCGAAGGAATTTTGAAATGTAACATATACAATTTTTCTCATTATTTTAAAGAGCATAAATTTTACATGGCAAAATATAAAATTTGAGCAAAATCGGTTGAGAAGCTCCTGAGAAATTGAAAAAAGTCAGATATTTAAAATTCCGATTTCGCGGGAAATATTCGTCTGATTTTGTTCAAATTTTGTACAGGGTGCGTAGCCAAATTATTCAACAAAAATAAGCACCTTTCAAGCACTTTTCTAGCACTCAAATAATATTTTTAAGCACTTTAAAAAAATCACAATTAGGTAGGATTGGAAAGTTTTTGACAATTGACGGTTTTATCTAATTTTAACCATCATGTAAAAAAAAAAAAAAAAAAAAAAAAAAAAAACAACTTTCGGCATTATTTTTGGCAATTGTCAAAATTTTTGAATCAAGTAAATTGAATGGCGTTTTCATACGCTGAGGACTGAAGGAAAAAAAAAAAACCTTTCGGCATTGTTTTTGACAAAATGTTTGTATCATGTAAATCGAATGGCGTTTTCATACGCTGCGGACTGACGAAAAAAAAAAAAAAAAAACCTTTCGACATTGTTTTTGACAAAATGTTTGAATCATGTAAATCGAATGGCTACGGACTGACGATACGCCGAAATAGATTGGGGTTGAATTGATTGTGAAAAAGTTGAATAGAACAATGGGAACAGTGTTTTTCTGCATAATTCGTAGCGAAAATCAACATGGTAAAGGAAAAATTTCATTTTGGAAAAGGGAAAATTAAGCACTTTTTAAAAACACCCAATGAAAAAAGCACCTTTAAGGGCTTTTAAAAAACGAAAATTTGAAATAAGCACCTTTAAGCACTTTTTAAAAATGCTACGA